AAACTAAAAATTCTTACCTGACCTGAAAATGGTAAAAGAACTTTGCTGAAACTAGGTCAGTGATAGAAGGAATGTGTTACAATTGCTGGTTGGCATCCTATTCTTCCCACAGCAAATTCCTGGAAGTTTCTATTTCCTGTATACCCCATGCAGTGTCTGCTTCAATTCCCTATGAATGTATTGAAATCTAACTTAATTTAACATACTTTGACAAGTCAGAAAAGTGGTGTAGTCAATCTATAGCTATAAGTCATTGTACAAGGCAAATTAATGGTTAGTTTATCTCATTTGTCAAATATTGATGGATTGACATGCATGCATGCATGATATACTAATTTTTCAGAATTATTCAAAATTTAATAATTAAATTTCAAAATTTAATAATACCACAAGATATGGAATGCAATTGTTTCAAGTTAATCAAGTATATATGTTTGAACTATGACAACTAGTATAAATGGTCTACGTGTCATGATCATGCATGATTTAATACTGCATCAGTGAATCATCATTGTTAATTATCATGATTTTTAATGACATTTATTTGTATCAAACAGGATATAACATTTTTTCCATGCTAGTGCCTCATTTATTTTTATAACTTGCTATTACTTTGGGGTATACAAATTTTATTAATAGTCTAAAACTGAATTCAGATCATATCATAATATTATAGAATGGGTCGTTCCAGAAAAGATTCATACTCTTTCCACAGAGGAAATTTCTGCCGTCCGGAGGGGGAGGGGAGAAAAAAATGTTTCTGATAATAGTAAATGTATTAGGACATCCAAAGGGGGTAGGGGGGTTAACTTCTTATTTCCTCCGTGGGGGTAGTATGGATGTTCTCTGGAATGACCCAATAGGCAAACTAAACAACAAGGCTTAAGCAATGAAAATTTGAAAAATAGAGGTCAGTTTCTGTTTAATTTAATTTAACAAGGGGAAGGGGGCTTATCTAGCTAGGTAAGCCTTGAGACAAAATATTGAGGGGGCCGAACCCCAACAAGGAGCCCCCCCCCCCAACTGGCTTTGCCTTTTGCTTTGGCAGCTTTATAAATATCCAAGCTGCTTTTGAATTAGATAGATTCAATATTTCAATTTAAATCAGATTTAATTCTTAATTTAAACCCGCTTGTGGTTCAAACCAAGAAGGGTAAAGCTAGATACCAGTCAGAAAATAATAAAATAAACAACAAAATAAAGGGGGCCTTATAACGTTTTCCACTGCGGCTATACTTTGCGTTTGCGTATAATTTAACACGATAAAGACTCTCAGCTCCGTGGTCAGTTGAACACGTTTTTGCCCGAGCTGACGGTGTGACTGATTAGTTATAAACCTAGCACACCCATTTTCTATTGTTCTCGGTCGGTTTTGGTTTCCGACTGAAGACCAGGTTCTGAAGGCTGAGCTGAAAGTGTAAAGGACCATACAGACCGGACGCGATTTGGCAACGCGACGCGAATTTTCAATTTTCAATGACATTTAACTTTAATATTTTTCAGTGTTTTTCAAATATTCGGCACCACTTAAGCAATTTTAGCTATTCGGTCTGCATATCTTGTAAATTTTTTCCCGTTGACGGTTTTATTTGTTTTTGAAAACTGAACATTCGCGTCGCGTTGCTGAATCGCGTCCAGTCTGTGTGGGCCTTAAGATTATCAATCCTTATCAATCTGGCTTTAGGTCTAATTACAGCACCCTCACTTCTTTACTAGAAGCAACTAATAACTGGTGTGTCAATATAGTCAATATCGATAGAGGTTTTTTAAACGGCGTAGTTTTCATTGACTTGAAGAAGGCCTTTGACACTATTGACCATAACATTTTACTTTCAAAGTTGAAAGCATATGGTGTGGATGACTTGGCACAATCTTGGTTTAGATCCTATTTAACTGATCATAGGCAAAAGTGTTTTGTCAACGGTCAGTTTTCTGGTGCCTCTTCTACATCCAGAGGAGTTCCTCAGGGTTCAATAATCGGGCCTCTGCTATTCTTGGTCTATATCAATGATCTCCCAAACTGCCTGAATATATGAGGGTTTCACAAGGATGTTTGCTGACGATACCAACCTAAATTGTAGTAGTGATAATTTATCCCACCTTGAATTTCTGATGAATTCTAGTCTAATTAACCTAAACAGATGATTAATAGCCAACAAATTAAGTTTGAATATTGCTAAAACTGAGTTCATGATCATTGGTTCACGTCAGCGTTTAGCAACTTTTAATAATTACGAGCCAAGTGTCTCGGCCGACAATGTGCCAGTGAGGCAAAGTTAGTTCAACTAAAATCCTAGGGCTAACCTTGGATGAAAACCTTACTTGGAGAACCATGTTGAAGTCATTACTAAAAAGATCTCTTCTGGTATTGGGGCTCTAAAACGGGTGCGCGGACTGATTGACCAAGAAACTGCAATTAAAGCCTATAAAGGTTTTATTGAACCATATTTCTCCTATTGTGCCACAGTATGGGACGGGCTCGGAGTAACTTTAAGTGATAAGCTTCAAAAACTTCAAAACAGAGCAGCTCGTGTTATTACCCGCTCTACTTACGATATTTCATCTAGTCAACTTCTAGATCAGCTGCAGTGGAACACTTTGTCGGTTAACCGCCATAAACAAAAAGCTGTTGTTATCATGTTTAAAACTCTTAATGGTCAATCTCCCCAGTACTTACAAGAATTGTTTGCATCCAGGAATTGTCAATATTCACTAAGAAATTCTAATGGCAAGTTGTTTATTCCTAAGCCCAATACTGATTATCTTAAGCGCTCCTTCAGTTATAGTGGAGCATCACTATAAAACAACTTGCCTGAATCTCTTAGATTATCATCATTCCTCTCCTCGTTTAAAGGAAGTCTGGAATCTCTATATTCTTCCAGTCTTACCGACTCCCACACGGCAACCAGGTAGAACAGTACCTCTCCTCTTTTCCTTCTTCCCTTCAATCTTGTCTTCTTCCTTAACTTATATTAATTGTTCTTATTTGTAAATAGCTAATTATCATAATTATGCATGTACTGATGGTTCTCCGTGTTTTAAATAAAGTCATGTATGTATGTATGTATGTATGTATGTATGTATGTATGTATGTATGTATGTATGTATGTGTGTGTGTATGTGTGTATGTATTGATGTATGTATGTGTGTATCTATGCTTGTATGTATGTATGTATGTCTGTATGTCTGTATGTATGTAAGACCCGGTATGGGTCTCTTAGGCCCTGTTCACATGAACCCGGGACAGCGTTATGTCTCGGGGCAAGAAATTGTCGCGGGACAAAAATTGTCTCGGCTCCTTAGTAAAAGAATAGTGCTGTTCACATGATATTTTACTTGTCCCGGGAAAAGAATTGACCCGAGTGCCTCGCCTCTGTAGACAGGGACACTCGCCTAGCCGGGACAACTTTTCCTCATGTGAACACTTTGCCTCGGGGCAACTTTGTCCCGGGATAATTGAATTTTTGGTAAAATGATCAAAATCGCCGCTATAATTACATTTAGAGCACGTTGGACTCCACAAAACTTGTTATTTGATTGAAGATATCATTAGAAATCTATAAGTGATGATTCTAATAACATTAAAATAAAATTGTCGCTAATATCATGTTTGAAACCAAGAAGTGTAGTATGTTACTCAAAGAATTTGATCTGGTCAATCAGAAACAATGAATTGAGGACATTTTATTACGGCTGACAATCAACTACGTTTTATTTGTAAATATCATAACATAAAATACGACTTGCGTTTATCAGAATGTTTTTTATTTAGCAATATTTCACCGTTTCACGTTGGCGGGAATATTTTATGATTCCCGCGTAATGTATTTATAGGCATGACCCGCGCTAGCTTTGTTCATGTCAACAGACGATATCAGTACCCCGGGTCAATGACTTGTCGCGGGGCAGTTGTTTATCCCGGGATCATGTGAACAGGGCCTTACATTTGAATGTAATTAGACCCGGTACCGGGTTTTGCATTTTCAATTCAAGACCTGGCATAATTAAGTCTTGAATTCGGGACTTGAATTTGCAACAAAACTCAAGCCCCATGTTCATCTCCTTTTCGCCGACTAGAAAACGCTGCACGTCTCTGAGTCGAGAAAGAGACAACAGCCGTGTACCTCAGAACCCGTCAAACTTTTTCATTAGGTAAGATCGAGAAACTATCATTCAAGTCCTTTGGGCTGTCTATATATGTGAATTTATTGCTACTTCAGAGAATTTCAGTCTTTAAAAGAGAGATAAGTGCTGTTAAAAGTGCCGGCTCGAATACCAAACTCACTATTTTGACAAATTGCGGACAACCACGAATACTGAAAACCACATAGTATAAATGAAACGTAGGCTATATTTTTCTGGAATGAAAAAAGTCAGCAGCATTAAATTCAAAAAATTAGATTCGACGGAAATTCAACGCCTAAAGCAGCCAAATAGGTCTTAATTACAAAACAGTTAAATTGTATATGCTGTTCTGCTTGATTTAGGCCTCGTCTGAAACGTTCCTCGATTCCAGAATTATACATGCACTACAGGGTGTCTAAAAAAGTGACCTTTTAGAAATCACCCTTTTTGTTGTAAACACCCAAACTTCATTACCTCTGGCCCTGTGAGTTTAGAATGCATTGTAATCGTATACTGTGAGCATGTTAAAACTGCATAAATTGTACATATTGTATGAAAATTCTAATTTTAATTTTAACATTTAAAAATGTTAAAAGAACTTAGAAATTAGTCCCGTCAGTTGACAAAGTTCGATTAAAAATGGTTCAACTGACTATATACAGAGCAAAGAGTTTTACTGCGTTACGCGCTGCGTTAAATTAATCAGCACATAATCATATTCATACGTTTAAGGATACCAAAAATGTTTAAATAACTTAATTCCCATCATAAAATTCGATTCAATTGTGTTTGCGCATCCATGGGTTCAGTATAGTACAGAAGGACTCAGGCATTCAAATTATAACAATGAGGTGCATTTCTAAAGGTCACTTTTTTTGAGACACACTGCACAGAAGAACAGTACGAGTTAAAAATCTCGCCTGAACACGAGACAAAACCACTAGTTGTGTGAATTTACAGTATACAAACCACGGTTAACTGGATCAACCAAACGTGTGTTGTCTTCGCTGGGCTTCTTTCTGTTAAATATGCTAATAAAACGAATACATACTGATGAGGTCGTTAAAATATCTCATCCCCACACACTAATGTCTGTCAGTGAAAAATATGAAAAATATTCGCTATCAGAGAACTTCACTGATTCAGGTAATTCAAGTTTTAATTATACATATAATATAGCTGGTATTGGCAGGTGTGAGTATACAATATGGTACAAATTATGTCAGAACTGTAAACATGTATTTAAAAGGGTCTCGATCTACACTGGTTCAGATACATCTGGCTACTTGTCAATTGCACTGTCAATAATGTTGTTCAGTTAAAGGAAGTAAAATGAATGAAAAACTTCTCACCATTATGCGGCATGATGGATGGCAATGCGACGAGGGCCAAATAAACTCATTCAAATACTAAGTCAAGTTATCGTGTATAATCAATCGCAGTAAAGACACCACTGCGGTAAACGGAGGCATTTCACACAAAACATAAGAATCTGTGGTTTGCCGTTTTAAACAGCGAGCACGACGTGGTCTTTTAGTAAATTGACCCTTACTAGAAGGTATTGAACAACCAAACTCTCGACGAAGCAAATTCGGTTTTATAAAAATATATTATTGAAAATCACTCACAGTTGTATACGCGGTCTAATCTCTCTCACAGTCACACAGTCACTACATTCCTAGCTATCTTTTAACTGCTTTTGATAATAATCTAAATGTGTCAATCATGCAATGATCGCCCCTAATTAAAGTAATAATCCTGCTATTAAATCACAAATATTGTAAGCTATATATAGACAGTCTCCGACACCCTCCCCCATGCAAGTTAGGAGCTAAATTGTATGTTCCCTAAGGAGACTGCGCTTCTAAACGATCGTGTTCGTGGAAAACAAAACTTGAAAATGAATCTAGTATTAATGTGTAAATATTATATAGTGTTCACATATCTTCTTCTTGATCTTCTGCTATGGCAGTTAATTTTGCTTGTGCATCTGCTGCGGCATTCGAGAATCCCGTGTTGATTCATGACGAGGTTAAGGGCAGTGGTCCCTAAATTACTTTGAATTTGTACTTGAGTAAAAGTAGAAGTAATTAACAATAAAGCGACTTGAGTAAGAGTAAAAAGTACTGGAGGCAAAACGTACTTACGTAAAAAGTACAAAGTACCCTTAATGAAGTACAAAGTAAAAGTAAAAGTACTATTCATAGTATCTGTAGCGTGCAAGGGGGGGTTCTCCAATGAATTTACATACAAAAGACACGAACAGCACACGCATTTATATGCGTGCACCTATAAATATACAATATTTCACAGCATGGTCTACTTTTCAGACCCCATTGATAATATAAGAAATCCATAAAATAAATAATGCTTATAAGTAAGCCACAAACGAGAGATCCCAGACTCATGTAGAGGTCCTATTACCTATCACGTAAACAAGAGTTAAAAAGAGTTAACAAGTAACTAACAACAGTTAACAAGAGTTAAAAAGTAACGAAATACATCGCCATAAAATGAAAATAACGAAGTAAAACGTTATTTCTTAAAACAACTTCGTTCCAAGTAAAAGTACTGCAGAAAAATTTTACTTTGTTACATGCTCACTTCTCCAAAATAGTACTCAAGTACAGTAACGAAGTACAGTTACTTCGTTACATGACACCACTGGTTAAGGGACTGTTTCGTATGCTCGAAGTGGGGTCTTAGGGAATCTTTCGCTTGCTCTCGTTTTGTCCACCAGTCTCGAACTTCTCTCACGTCATCGGACGTCAGGGACACTCTACGATGACGGTTTGTCGTAAAGCGGCGTACCCAGGCTAGAATTCGAAGTGCGTGAAGCAGATCGTGACGTTGGAGGAGGTTCTCGAAGGGGTCGTTCTCGGAATCTTTATCTCGTTCTTGTTCTTGTGCAAGGCTGAGCACTTCCTTCATGACTCTCGCTTCGACCTCGGAGGCAGGTGATTTCTCCACTACTCGATTTTCTGGCCAGCGATCACGATCAGCGAGCCACTCAGGGCCAGTCCACCACGTACTGTTAGCAATATGTCCTCCACGGCTCGCGATGTCTGCTGGATTCTTTTCGGTAGGCACATACCTCCACTGGATCTCAGTATGCTCTTGTATCTTTCCCACGCGATTCGCGACGAACTGTTTGTACTGACCGTTGCCGAGAAGCCAGTGAAGTGCAACGGTGCTGTCTAACCAACCAAATATCTCTGGTGTGGGAAGCTCTATCAGGTCATTCTTTGCGTTTGTCACGAGATTTGCTGACATATGAGCACTGACCAACTCTAATCTCGGCACCGTCAGATTCTTCTTTGTCAATCGGGACTTCGCCGCAACGAGGGAAGTTGTAACTCCTACGGCCTGGCGGACCACATATAGTAGACGACCTTACCTACTCCCTCAGTTGATGCATCTCCAAATACGTGCAAGTCGGCTGAATCAACTGGTTGATGGTATGGTGCGAGTGGTCTTGGAATACTTATTCGTTCGGGAAGGGACTTCTCAAACTTCAGCCATCATTTTTGAAGGTTGTCTGGGAGATTGGAATCCCATCCGAACTTGGAGTCGCATACGTCGCGAAACACGAGTTTGCCTTGCAACGTTATCGGTGATACTAGACCTAGAGGGTCGTAGATCCTTGCTAAACTTGCGACGAGTTCACGCTTGGTGGTTGCTGGCGTACGGGCAGGGAATTCCACTGAGATGGTATCCGTGGTCTTGTCCCATTTGAGGCCCAACAACTTTGAGTCACTCGACTTGACTTGCAATTGCAATTGTTGTTTTGCAAACGACTGTTCGTCACAGATATTTCGTCGTTGTTGTCTTCCAGCTCTGGCACGCTGGAGTTCCATTTGTGTAACTTGAACTTTGCATCATCCATAATTTCGATTGCAGTGGTTTTCCGTTGTTTCGCCTCTGTTGTGTCTTGACCACCAGACAAAATACGTCGACGTATAAACTTCGACGTATTCACTCCACGTCTTCCGGATATTTCTGGGACCACAAGTCGAGGTGACATTCGAGGACTCCCCCAAGTAGAAATGGCGAAGGCACAAGGCCGAATAACATTCGCGTAAAATGATAGGTTAGGATCTCTGCGTCGACATTGGATCTCCAGTGGAATCGGAGCGCATTTTTCTCACATTGTCGGACTCGAACCTGTAGGAAGGCTTGTTTGATGTCACCGGAAATTATCACGGGAAATGCTCTCTGTTGTACCAGAACGTTCCATAACTTGTTCTGTAAGGCTGGTCCTGCATAGAGGCAATCGTTCAGGGATGGAACTGCGGGTGATTCTCGGGCCGAGGCGTCATATACGATCCTCATTTTGGTCGTCTGGGCTGATTCTCGGACTACGTATCTGTGTGGAATATAGAATTCCGTTGCGTTGCTTCCGCTCACAGTGGGGGGTGGTAATGACGGTGGTTGGAACTGGGTCACTTCCGGTCACCATGGGAGGTGGAACTAGGTCACTTCCGGTCACCACGGGATGTTGGATAGGGTCACTTCCCGTCACCACGGGAGGTGGCATAGGGTCACTTCCGGTCACCACGGGAGGTGGAATAGGGCCACTTCCGGTCACCACGGGAGGTGGAATAGGGTCACTTCCGGTCACCACGGGAGGTGGAACTCTTTCGATGACCCCCTCAGCAAGTTGTTCTTGTATAATGCCGTCGTACTTCCCCATCGAGTTTTCGCGTTGAAGTCTTTTAGTCAAACCTCCGAGTCGCTTCAGGCTACCACGTTCATTGTTTGGAAAATAGGGATGGTTTGGTTTCCAAGGTAACGCGGTCTCGGACCATCCCTCGGGAGATCGGGTCAACTGTTCTTTAAACTCGTTAAATACCACCAACAGGTCATGTTGGGAGGTATCTTCGAGCCCTAAAACGTCTAGTCTACACAATTCCTCGTACTCGGCGTGGGAGGTCTGGGTCATCAACATCACGTTGCTTTCGAACTCGTACCCAGGGCCCATTAGAAACCAACCAAACTTGGTCAACTCAGCGATAGGGGCTTTCTCGTCTCCTATTCTCGGTCTTGTTTGCGTTTTAATCTTCGCATACTCCCCGCTCCCCAAAATGACATGGACAGGCAGGGTATCTTTGACGTCATCGTCGTTCATTGTCACGCCCGTTAAGTGGGGGTGTTGATTGATTAATTTGGGATTGTCGATCAACAAAAGTTCACTCTTGTTTACCTTTGTAGCTAGCTCTTACGGGAAGACTAAACGAGCCGTCTAGCGAGTCAAATTTCATATCGCTAACTCGAACAAATTTCAGAAGTTCCCTTGGTCAAATTTACCCGGTTAATTAATTCGAACTGTATTTTGAGACGTGGATCGGCAAACTTCAAAATGTCAGAACATAGCACATTGACAAGCCGGAAGCTTGGATTTCTATTCATACATAATATATAATATATAAAAACGTAATACAAGTCCAGAAAGAGATAAAAGGTTCAACAAGTTGCATCGGTCATTACTGATCTAGCTAATAGGTACTGTATGGGAGCGAAGCCCTTTCGTCTGGAAGGCTACTATAATTTCCATATGCGAAGGCCTTCGCTCAAAACGTCTAAGTTCTTTGTGTATTTTTCAGGTCAGTATATGTATCTTAATTTTACTGAACGCTATACCTATAATTCTATAAAGTACAATTCTAAAGTACAGTGATAACTAATTTGTGCAGTGATAAATATTTATGGATTGTGCGATTATATTATCGCCATTTTGTGCAGTAATAAATTTTTTTAGTTATTACTAAATTTGATAAAGATAGTTCGTGAGCAAATAGCCGAATACACAACTCTAGTAATAAGAGATTAATTAGTGATTTAATACTCTTAGTTACAAGGACAGTTTATAGGACTCTATGACTCTTGGCTAAATATTTATTATAATAATATTTGATTTATTTAACTGGAAATTTCTATGTACTGTAGTTGAGCACAGCACTCAAATGACAAAATATACAGAATACATAGATACTCAATGTATACCTTGGCTTTGCTGTAAAATTAAAAATGCTGCTAGTTCACTCTTTTAGTTTTTTTGTGCAGTTATAAAATTTCTTTAATTAAATTAAAATAATCTAATGGAGTTCCTGTATTTAAGACTTGTTAAGAGAAATTTAAATAATATTGCGGAGAGAAATGAAGTTTTGATGCATGCTTTCGCTCGATCTTGTTATGATGCCGTTGGCGTAAGGCCATATAAAAAAAAATAGTTGGTTAGCGTCCTTAGCTTTTGCCAAAAAGTGGGCGGGCGGGCGCTTTTTTTTTTAATTTTTACTAACTTTTAACGCCTTGGTTTTACTCACTGTTAGGTCCGAAACTGGATTTTCTTGCGCAGTACAGATATTTTTTTTATATATTTCAAAATATAATTCATACCGTCATTTTCGCACGCAATTTCGCAAATTATTAACACAATTGACTACAGTCAACAGAAATACTACATATATTAGAGCCTGTTGATCAATAAAAGTCGGGGTTTTTTTAAATAAAAAATAAAAAAAAATCCTGAGCGGGGCCTTTTGTGGGCGGGCGGGGACGCTAACCAACTATTTTTTTTTATGTGGCCTAATGTCCAAGATGGTAGCTCGGTTAATTATTTATTTTCTGCTCAAACCATGGGCTTGGCTTTTTCTCCAAATTTTATGTAAAGTACGTAGCGATTAAGTGGCGGGGAATATTTATGAATTTTGCCATTTTTCAGAGTAATTTGGGATTTATTGACTGCCGTTTGGAAATGACAAAATCAGTCCTTCATTCTGGGGGGACGTTTGCACATTTTACATTATTTTTTTTTTATTTTGGACCCCCTTCAGTCGAGGACCAGGGGTAATTTTCACTCTCTGAGTCTGTGTACCCTCAATGGGCATGCATCCTTGATCAGTATAGTCTTACAAAAAAAAAAATTCGTCTCGCCTACAAAAGTTTTCATGATTTGGTCAACAATGTGCTCAGTAGATCTTTTATTCTTCTCTTTCATTCAACGTAGGTTTGAAGATGTGTACGTCCAAACTGAGTCCTACATCTCTTATCATAGCTGGCCTTACAGCATTGGTGCTTCTGTCTATTCTGATCTTTAGTCATTCTCTTGATGCAGGTATTGTTATTAAAATTTTATTAAAATGGTTATAAAGATATTAGTTTAAACGACCACTATGGCATTCTCTAGGGGCGTATAGGAAGTATCGAAAGATTGGGGGGGGGGGGGCACTGCCTTCCAGAGGCACTTTTGGATAATCAAGAGGACACCCACAAATTTCTCTCGGAAATGTTAGCAGCGGGGGGTGGGGATACAGAATAGTATTTACAACATAACTAGCTTGTGTAATAAAATATGTTAAGAAACCAAAAGGACACCTTCGATGTTAAAACAGTATTTACAGAAACATTAGCTTGTGCAAAAAGGACACCTTTCATAACAAAAACAGGCACTTTTGGTCCATTAAAAATTGGGGCGATTGGGGGTGGGTGGGGCATGTGCACCCTGTGCCCCCCCCCCCCCAAGTTTCAACGCCCCTGGCATTCTCTGCGCTTTCTTTTTGACGTGCAAAGTTTTAAGGAAGCGCTGTGGCTATGCAACCAATTTATCATTCTGTAATCCTGGGCGAATTCGATGAATATTGCATCAGATCGAAGTAGGTAGACTCGCATCTTTGTTAAGGCATCTAATTGGGATCGAATTTTTAAAATAAAAAATGCAATGATGTGGTAATTCGCTTCACGACTCTTTCTAGACTTTCTTATGTCTTAACATGGATAATAAAATAAATGGATAGGAAACTAGCTGACGTGACCTAATGTTTTTACTGGGATTGATGGCGTGGTTGGATGCCTCAACCTAGTTGAAAATCAAATTCTCAAAAACGGCATGTTTAGCAATAATACAGCTAAACATTTTAGTCAAAGACCAAATAAATGTAACCACGCCATTCTACGATGAAAACTCTAAGTATTCCCCATCAATTTTAGCAAATATTTCAAGCACTAAACAGTGAAAAATACATCGCAAATTTCGTTAAAATTTGTGACGCCAATTTCGTAGCTACAAATGTAAAAAAATACAAAACAAAGACGAAAAACATTTACCTTGAATACTTTGTCGTGGCTTAGGCATGTTTTTAAAACAATTAGACCAGTTTACGCTTCAAGATCACCCTTTTAAAGTGGAAAATATAGCAAAACAACAAATATGCCGAGAACTTTGGTAACATTCGCAATACGCGTGACGTCACGTTTTTCAACAAGGATGCAGTCAATGACGTCAGAAGTTTCCAATCCATTTATTTTATTATCCATGGTCTTAATTAAGTGAGAACCTGCCTAACTTTTGAGATCGATATCACTAGGATGATCACCCATGAATATTGACGAATCTCAGTGAAACGTACTCGCGTGTACCTGCAATCACTTAGCGTTGCTTTCTTTTCCTTTACTTTCACCATTGGTTTGTGAAGTTTCTGAAAGAGTTGTGATTGGCTTAAGCATTTCACGTCACTGAAATGTCCTCTAACATATCATAACTGCATGTGGACCAATGAGAAGGTATAAATAAATTTTATCGGTTGATCCCCAATAAAAAATATTCTTTCCAATGAGACAATAACATTTTGGCGTTAGAAGCAGAAAGTCTAGAAAGGGAATTGTTGATGAATTTATTATTTCTTTTCATTATTCTTATTTCTTTTTACTTCAGACATGGTGATTTATAATAGTTACTTCAGAGCTACTGGTACCAATTTCACAAAGTCTAAATTTAAACTGCCAAAGTATGTCTCAGTGGATGATTTGCAACGGCTAAATTATTCTCCTACAGATAATTTGAACGCTTTCAAAGTGAGTGCACCTGTTGTTGTTGGAAGTATAAGAACAACAATGAGAGCAAGAACTTTGACCAGCCATGTTCCCATTGAAGATAGTAATATCAGGACACCTGCAGGTATGACAACAACGAGACCAATAATTGTAACTGACTTTGAGAAAGGCCATAAAGAACTGTGTAAAAATTCTTGGCAAGACGAATATACTAAACTTCATAATCATTTATTGGCAACAAATCAGAATAAATTTCTTATCGTGACATGTTCTGCAGCTGGTTGGGGAAATCGGCTGCGAGAGCTACTTTGTGTTTTTCATTTAGCGGTTATTACAAAGCGAGTTATCATTATTGATTGTAATCAACCTGTCCCACTGGATAAATATCTACCACCACGATACGTAAAGTGGAACTACAGGGTGAACGAGACAGGTTTGTCCATTAGACATGGTTATGTAATTGACTTCAATGAAATAAAGAATATTACAGACACAAAAGTCGAAAAATTATTGAATTACTCCGTTGAATTTAACCCTGGACTAAGAGGAAGTTTCTACATAGCATTGGCGAATCTTATTAAGTATGATTTACCTATTTGGCCTAATGTTCCTCAAATGTTGGGATGTGATTTTTACTATTTGTTCAAGAAGTCCGATGTCTTGGAAAATCGTTTGCGGCAATTGAAAGCGGAACTAGGCTTCATTGATAATATTGTTTTAGGTATTCATATCAGAGAAGGCGATTCTGTATTTCATCACAACAAAGGTGACAAAAGATACAAAAATGCCGAAGATATTCGAAATGCTTTTAACTGCGCAACGAAAGTCGAAAATAAAATCAAAGATAAGTACAATACGACGAAAATAATTTGGTTTTTAGCCGCCGACTCGGATAAAAGGAAAACTTATGCGAAGGAAAAATATGGTAGCAAAGTGAAATATTTGGATGGTCCTATTGAACACATTGGACATCCGATGAAAGGAAACGAGGATGCAGGACAATTAACCATGCTGCTCGATTACTTCCTCATGCAAGAATCCGATTTCAAACTATATACTTCACCGTCTACTTTTGACGATGCTGTGGAATATATATCACTTGGAAAGCCAACTGTTATGCAATTGTTCTACAGAAACCAATTGTCGTGTAAGATGCCAAAATCTTTAGAAATTTAAGTCTTTTTACAGTATAATATACAGCCTCTTGTAATTATACGATTTTCATGTTGTTTTCCGGGCATAGTACCGTCTTTGCTTATCACTTAAGCGATTCACATAGAACACGATTCGAAATTTTGAAACGGGAAACGATCTCTTGACCTCGTATGGGATTTAACAGGTGGAGCTACGATCCTGGCAAAAACTAATGAAACATCCAGTATGTACGCCCAACATTGTTCAGGGGGGAGGGGATTTTGTCTATTTCACTGATTTTTTATAGGTGTTTCATTAACTTTTTGCTTAGATTGTAGATGAGACTCGAAGCGCGAGGAAAATATGCGTGTAAGCGTTTAATTCCTTATAATATCGTAATAGTAATTAATATCAGTTTCCGTCGACAGCTAATAAAGATCTGGACATTAATTTAACTGAATCACTGCCAGTTTGATGAATTGATGTGCTTTTGATTCCCATGTTTTTTTTTGCGCATGGATCTCGATCATTGTAAAGCTTTCTCGAAAATTTGTTTATTATCCATTAGAAACGCAAACCATGCCTGCATGTTTACTTCCTATCTATTAATTAACGTTGAAATTAGTCTAACTATTAAATATATTAATTTTGATGACAAAAAAGAGGAATTATTAAGTCTTTATTAACAATTAAACTGACACAGCATAATTCTTTTAAAATTGTATGCTCAAAAATTAATCCTCCAGCAAACGGGCAAAGCGCCGTTCCTGGCGTAAGCCCGAGGCGAGACCCGCGAGGATACTAATTCCGCTCGGCTATTTACATTTTATATGAGAACATAGCGAATTGGAAGTTTAATTTAAAGTTATCCTCCATTATGTGATGGAAGGTTTCCGACGTTATGCCCATGCGGGAGTACAAGCTCGGCCATAAATTTTAAGATGTATTTTTTGTACAGTACAATTCCCCCAGCGGCGGTTCCAGTTAATGGTAGATAGATAGATAGATAGATAAACTTTATTTAAGCACACTAGTCCCATTCAACACTAAGCTGATTTCCATGAGAGGTGTGCTGGCTAATTGTTACAATTTAAAAACTAATTTATTAATACATACAAACTATTATTATATAAATCTATTAAATATTCATTTAAATAAACTACTTAATTTAATAAGGCCGAGGGCGAGGAGAAAAGGTTTTTACAAAACGAGTTGTAAGATATCGAATTTCGAATATTTTCTGGTATTCTATTCCATAATTTAGCCCCACTGTAACTGAAACTTTTTTTAAAAAATTCTGTCCTGGGCCTTGGAATAAAAAGCCCAGTTGAAGAACCTCTTAAATTATAACTATTTACAGTGTTGGAAGATTGGAAAATGTTACACAGTCTTTGTGGAGCTAATTGATTTACTGTTTTGTACATGAGTTTGGCCTTCATTAATGCTCTACGTTCTTCAAGGGATGTCCAACCAAGAGCAATACGAGCTAAGATAGACTGTCCATGCTTATTTTTAAAATTCATAATTACTCTAGCCGCTCGATTTTGCAATTTTTGAAGACGTTCGCCGAGGCCTTTGCCAAGCTCATCCCAAACCTCACAACAGTAATCAAATGCGGCTGGATCAATGCATTATACACCAGCACTAATGTATCTCGGTCTACAAATTCTTTAAGTTTTTTTAACGCACCAATCCCCGAAGATACTTTACTAGCGATATATTCAATATGTTTTTCCCAGTTTAGGTTCTCATCGATTTCAACTCCTAGCACTTTTGCGCTTTTTACTCTTTTGATTGGACATGTGTCGATCTTAACTGTGGGTTGGACATCCATGCTATTAATCTTAGAACGTGATCCAATCAAAATATATTCCGTTTTCGCAATATTTAAGCTAAGTTTGTTTGAAGACAACCACTCTTTAATATTTTTCAAATCCTTATTCGCTATCTCTTCTGCTTCATTTAACGTTTTGCCCACAGCTGTAAGGCTGGTATCGTCTGCAAACATCCTTGATGTTGTATGTTTGAGACAATTTGGCAAATCATTTATATAGATAATAAACAGAAGAGGGCCAAGTATACTTCCCTGAGGGATGCCGCAAGTTATTCCTCTCTGATCTGAAAGCATTCCATTTAGCTGACATCTTTGTGTTCGATTTGTTAAGTAATTACTTAGTAAATCTAGGGCTTTATTACCAAAGCCATACCGTTCGAACTTACGTAAAAGAATTTCATGGTTGACAGTATCGAATGCTTTCTTTAAATCGAGAAGAACAACTATGTTGTATAGGCCACGGTCCATGTTAATATACCATTCATTAGTACAATCTAAAAGTGTGGTAGTTGTGGAATGAAATTGTCTAAAACCAAACTGATGTTCTGAAAGAATATTCTGTTTCTTTAAATAATCATACATTTGGTCGTACAGAATCCTTTCCATCAGTTTGCTGACCACAGGTAAAATTGAAATTGGTCTATAATTGTCTAACATAGTCCGTTGGCCTTTTTTAAAAATTGGAGTTACTCGTGCTGCTTTCCACTCCATCGGGAATCTGTCAGTGGCAATAGACATATTAAAAATCCTTGTTAAAGGCTCTGCAATAGCAGGAGCTGCAGCCTTTAATACTTTAGCTGAAATTTCGTCGATACCTGTAGCTTTGGAGATAGTTAATTTGGTTATAAGTCTATAAACTGTTGCAACATTTACAGGTTGGAAAATAAATCTCTCAACTGGTTCATGTTGAGGAATGAAATCTCGAAAGCTACAGTTGTGTTCGTATTCAATTTTTTCAGCAAGTGTAGGACCAACATCGGTAAAATAATCATTAAAAACATTAACCAGTTCAATAGTTGATGTAAC